TGTGTGTGTGTGTGTGTGTGTGTGTGAGAGAGAGAGAGAGAGAGAGAGAGAGAGAGAGAGAGAGAGAGAGAGAGAGAGAGAGAGCACGACTTCAAAACGAAAGCATGATTCTGTGTGTGTGTGTGTGTGTGTGTGTGTGCTCATCGTGTTGCAGATGCATGACATACCATATCGACACATGTTGTGTACTCCAGAGATACCAGATGGTATTGCTTCTGAAAGTGCGGGCGTAGCCGCAGTGGCCATACGTATGTATGTAGTTCTTGTAAAGTAATTGTCAGTCAGGGTAAGCAATCAATCCAATCTATCAATCGATCAATCGATCAACTCAATCAATTAACCCAATCAATTAACCCAATCAATCGATCAATCAATCAATCAATCATCTGAGCGAGAGCTTTCATCACGATGATTTTTTCTCCCAGAAAGCGAGCGACGAGGGTGGAGGGTCATCAAGAGGAGGTGCGGATTTCAGAGATGCCGTCGTCTCGAATGTCCTTTTGATCGGCAGTGGCACCACCATGACAGCTCTTTTTCCGCGTTCCCCCCCCTTCTTTTGGACGAAGAGACAAGAGAGAGGATCACTAGGGGAACAAAAAAAGAGAGGAGAAATGAGGCAAGAGAGAGGCGGCAAGAAAGAGGCGGCAAGAGAAAGGAGGCAAGAGAAAGGAGGCGAGAGAGAGCAGCAGCAGGAGTCGTCCTGCTTAGGTCTGGGGTAATGTTGGTATGAGGGTGGTGTGGATTTTTTGCAAAGCGCGCGTGCGGGCGCGGAAAAGGGCAGAGGCTGTGTGCCGTGCGTTTTTTCAGAACGTAGTACTCGCACAGGGACTTTCTTGAGTGAATCTGACCGCAATTATGACCGGGGCGCTGCATGTATCTGACCGCAATTACGTCCACAGCTGAGGCGAAACGTACGTTTTCTCTGAACGTACTAGCGCCGGGACGTTCTTGAGNACCGGGGCGCTGCATGTATCTGACCGCAATTACGTCCACAGCTGAGGCGAAACGTACGTTTTCTCTGAACGTACTAGCGCCGGGACGTTCTTGAGCGAATCTGACCGCAATTACGACCGGTGCGCTGCATGTATCTGAGCGCAAGACCGCAATTACGACCGGTGCGCTGCATGTATCTGAGCGCAATTACGTCCACAGCTGAGGCGAAACGTACGTTTTCTCTGAACGTACTAGCGCTGGGACGTCCTTGAGTGAATCTGACCGCAATTACGACCGGGGCGCTGCATGTATCTGACCGCAATTACGTCCACATCTGAGGCGAAACGTACGGTTTGTCTGAACGTACTAGCGCTGGGACGTTCTTGAGTGAATCTGACCGGAATTACGACCGGGGCGCTGCATGTATCTGACCGCAATTACGTCCACA